GAGAGAGAGAGAGCGAGCGAGAGCGAGACAGCCCAGCTCGGCGTGCGGAGCCTCACCGATTACAATCGGAGCTTCCATCCTTTTTGTTTTTTCTCTATCTCACTCTGTTGTACTTCCATTTCGATAATTCGTTCTGCAATTCAAGAATGTGAATTTTATCGATTCTGATTTGACATCATTGATGCGATAATATACAACTCCTTCTCTAAACAACAATCTTGATATATATTTCTATATATAATACAAAAATATATTATGGCGTTTCCAGCTGATAATATAGTATATTGCTAGTTTACACAATGATTCAATTCATTTCTATGGTTGAATAGCGGTACTTCGTTTGCGTACGATCGATAAGAGGAATGGCGCTTCTTACTTACTTCTTAAGTCTACAATTCGACATTCGAGTAAAAAATGTGCTGTATAATTTCAGATCAATAATTTCAAGATCTTGCATGTTTAAAATATGTAGCTGACGATTTACAGAAAACCTCAAGGAGCAATACATGCTTGCAGAAACGAGTTATGAGTTTCAGTATAAGAGCAATAAATATATTCGAAAATTTCATTTATATGCTACGTCTGCTACAAGATTGCCGCTTGTTGTTCCGACATCTGAGCAAAAGATCAACCGAAACATACATCGCGTTCCGAGTATTGATATATATATATATATGTAAATAATTCAGTAAATAAAGTTATTTGGAAAGTTTAGACATATATTATACCAAGTGTACAAATATCAAATGCGGATTTTTTTTCAAAAAAAAACATGTTAAATTCGGAAGAATGATAAAAAGAGCTTTATTCAAAGTATTCTCCATTGCTAGTTACACATTTTTCCCATCTTTCGGGCAATTTGTGGATACCACGCCAGTAAAAATCTTCCCCCTTTGCCGCGAACCATTCATCGAGCCATTTTTTCACATCTTCGTACGAACTAAAGCGCTGCTCAGCAAGTGCGTGACCCATCGATGCAAACAAGTGATAATCCGAAGGAGCCAAGTCTGGTGAGTAAGCCGCATGGGGTTGAACTTCCCAGCTGAGTGCTTCCAACGTGTCGCGAACCGGTTTTGTCGTATGTGATGGAGCATTGTCATGAAGAAAAATGACTTTGTGTTGTCTCTTTTGGTATTCTAGTCTTTTTTCAAGCAGCAAACGGTTCAAATCGATCAATTGTTGTTGGTAGCGTCCAGCATTAACCGTTTCACGAGGTTTTAACAGCTCATAATAGACCACACCCTTCTGGTCCCACCAAACACAGAGCATCGTCTTTCTGCCAAAGCGATTCGGTCTTGCGGTCGATGTGGATGGTACGCCTGGGTCTACCCATGATTTTTTGCGCTTGGGATTCTCAAAATAAATCCACTTTTCATCCCCACTAACGATACGATGCAAAAACGACTTCCTTTTGTATCGTGCAAGCAAAATTTCACATGTGTTTTTGGCCTCTCCATCTGCCTGCCGTCCAACTCATGCGGTACCCATCTTCCGGTCTTCTGAATCTTTCCCATCTCTCGGCGATTGAAAATAGCTTGTTGACTAACGCTCAATTGCTCTGCGAGTTGTTTTTGTGTTTGTGAATCATCTTCGTCCAACAATGCTTGCAATTCCACATCTTCGTATCTTTTTGGCGGTTTTCCGTGTTCCTTGTCTGCAACATCGAAGTCACCACTTTTAAAACGCCGACACCATCGTTCACACGTATCTTGCGATGGAGCATGTTCACCATAAGCTTCTCGAAGTAATCGGTATGATTCAGCAGCAGTTTTCTTCAAATGAAAACAAAAAATTAATGCTGTTCGCGAATGCTCTTTGTTTGGTATAAATTTCGACATATCGAACACAGCAACACAACACTATGCAAACACTTTTTCAATTTATCACTCGTGCGCGTCTGACACTTGTTGATGGCACTTCAAAATGGCATAACAGTCAAATCTTTATACCACACATTGCATTGATGCGCCATCTGTTTTCTCAAATCCGCATTTCATACTTGTACACCTGTATATACATATATACACACACATACATACATATATACATACACACATGCGCGCGCGTGTGATGTGTATCTATTTTATATATATATATATATATATACATATATGAATATATATATATATATTATATATATGCATCAATAATTTACTAAATAATGTATAATATGTAAAAGACAGAACAATGCAATTAAAATAATTATTTTTATTTGTATTCATATGTAAATAATATGGTAAGTTTTTTGTTTATGAAGAAATTATTTCAACAAAATTGAAATAACTAATATCATATTTATTTTATTATTATTTGTTCTCTCAAAAGAAAAAACTTTGATCAGGGCATGTAAGAACGTTTTTTGATATGGGCTTGAATAGATCGATAATTCAGATCATTTCTATGATTCAACGACGCACTTTTCATGACAGCATCGCTGTCAGAATATCGCGGAACTAAAATACTGCTCGGTTTCATGGATTCACGTCAATTTCACTCGTAATATACACAACGAAATTTTCGATGACTCTTTTCTCTTATACCCCTACCTCGTTTCTAAAAGCATAGGATTATTCTTTCAGGTTTTCTGCAATTCGCCAGCTATTTTTTATGAACGTGCAGGGTCTGAAACTCTTATATGCAGCACATATTGTGACGTGTTGACTACAGAAACCGATAACAAAACTGTAAGTTTTCAATTTTCTTCCGTTTTTCATATTCAATTGTAGCTGGCAAATTACGTTGTTGTCGATACTTTAATTGTGGAGGAGGACTTTTCAATCCATAAACATAATTAAGAGAAAAGAGTCTTTAATAATTAATGGAAAAACAGGACACTCCAGCATCCCCTTAACACTTCTAATTGATTATCGCAACAATGTTTCAACTGACAACGGTTTGCTACGCATTGTAGAATGCCCTTAAGAGATTATTAAGTAACGCTTGTAATAAAACGCGATGAAGTTTTGCCGTCAGTCAAAACTACGGTCATAACATATAGTATATATTATATATACATATAAATATAATTCACATGGAATTAAGCATTAAAAATCCAGCTTTGATTAGGATAGACTTCTTTTATTGATTAAATTATATATGAATTTAAGCTAAAAATGACATTACACTGTTTTTATAATTATTGCGCAATAGTTAAAAAAAAAGTAATGTCATATTTTTAGTTCAAATTTATATATATTCTATTTTTTAAATTAGTAATTATATCACTCGATAGAGTAATGTTTTCAGTTTTAATACTTAATCCGCGAGTAACTCAGGGACAAAAAATCATAGGAACACTTTTAAAAAATAATTTTGTAGGAAAAGCTTTAAGCTAGGCTTTCACGGTAGATAGTTGAAAATTTATTCAAATTTGTTTTGGACAAGCTACAGACTTACAAAGTGCAAAGAAAATTTTTCATTTTTTTCAGCTCATTTTCTATATACAAAAATTATAAACACATATAACTTCAAAAAATATAATAACCATTCGAAAGTAGAGATTCCAAACTTTTAAACCTTTTTTTTTATTCTAGTCATTTTTAATAAAGATATTGTATATGCAATTTTGAGTTAAAAATATCACAGAACTTTTCCTCCGACCCCTTTTTTCCAGGTGATTCTTGTTTACGAGGAAATACTGTCTGTTGCTCTTTGTCGGCGGAGATGTATACTGCTCGCTCATTCGCAATTTTCATAATATACAAGAAGTATTTATACAATATTCAATGACAATTTCTTTATTGTTACGGAATATTCGGCACATTAGGAATGCAAATTGAATTTTTGATTAATGTTTAACATTAGCTGAGTATGTTGTACATATTGAAATTCATTGAAGATTGGAAGATTATGGAGGTTTATGAAGATTAAGATGTCAATATAAAAACTGTAGGATGTTGGATGTTAAAATTTAAAGAAATAAGAAAAGAAAATTTGACTGATAAATCACGATCAGGTAGACCTATGACTGCAATAGACAAGTTCGAAAAGCTAGAAAAAATGATCCTTGAAAATTGTTTTAAAAAATAGTAAAATTTTCATTTGTTTCATTAATACACCCATCTATTACTATTGTATTAACATGGAGACAAAACTATTCAGCCTTTCCCCGTATTATGTAAAAAAAATTATTAATATATTAAATACCTTGGCAGCATCTAAGAGAGATACTATTAATTGAGTTTGACTCTCCGTATTAATGTATATCTTAATAATGTCGTCAACTGACCAGTGTTCAAATAACACTCTAGGTATAACTGAAAATAATAACAGCAATAAAGGATCATAATTATACTCTGAATTATTTTCAACTTACGCTTTACGATATGATTAACTTTGTTATTGGCTCTCATTTCCTTTATCCATTTAGTCTGGACAGAATGGGTGGATAACTGATAGGTTGAAGTGTTACCAAAAGAAAAAGCTAACCATACAGGAGATACTATTGTAAACTTGCCATGAAATGTTTTTGAAATCTCAAAACCATTTTTGTTCCACTATAAAATTTAATTATATATTGAATGTAAATACAGTTACTCACAAAATTGATCAAATGTACAATATTAGACTAGAATTATCTACAATCGATTCGAAACAGGCAATCTACGAAAATGACCTTTCAATATCAGAATATAAACATAAATATTTATGATTTTGTCATAGATATTTTTATTCATAAATTTTCAAAAGAAATATATGTAACAATAGCCAGATAGCCAAATGGAGTGCATTTGCTGACATGTTGCAACCAATTTCAACAAACTCATGACAAAGTAAGACTGCATTATGTCTGTCGCGTTGAACTCAATAGAATTCGAATTCTTGCAAATTGATGGCAACATGTCAGCGTGAATATCCTCGACAACAACTCGAAAACGTGTGACATTTTATACTGTCAGCATTTTGTTAGCAATGAGTTGCAATTGAAAAACTTCATAGCTTGAAGACATATTTGAACAACCGATGGAAATCATTATATATGTTCTGTTGCCATAATGTTTTCATCCCGATGCTCAAGATGAAATGATTAATTATTTATTGCTAACATATTGTAACAACATAATGTACCACTATTGCTCATAGTTTGCTCTAGAAATGTCGATTACGTATATAAGAAGTAATGTTGTTATAATGTATCCAATTTTGATGTTAGTAAATATGTAGCAAATATATAACATATGCAATGCATTAGTTGGTACAATCACGCTTGGTTATCTGGGATAATATTTGATAAGTTTCGTAAATCACAACGTATGCATTCTATTCTTATAATTTTATATATAAAGTGTCCCAAATTTAAATGTTCAAACTTCGGGAGCGTGTAGAGAATCGATAAATAAAGAAAAAAGTCCTTTAAAAATATGTTTATTTTTACTTCGTTTTAGAGAAAATTATAAAAAAGAAAAAACATAATTTTCGAAATATGTATTATTGTTTTCAAAACGGAATATTATTTTCGCGTACGACTTCAACGATAATGCTTCAGAGGCAGTACGAGTATAGGCCGATTTCCAGAAAAACTCCGGATCAGCAATCATTACATTGACCAGATCAGTGTTTGATTGGCAACACGAACTGTTCGTGCAAGATGCAATACGTGCATTGCTGCAAGAGATCAACATTTTGAATAATCTGAACTAAACAAGTGACAATTTATAAATAAAAGTAATCTTACACAGTCCTGTGTTAGCATAACAACCGCTAGTCTCGGGCAAGGAAAACTAGTTGCAGTAGTGATCCCCGGGGTTGGTGGGTCCCAATCACCACGACACAGCGCGTCCTCGGGTTGCGGATAGAGGAAAAGCCTCGCTATCTCGGTTGAGGATAGAGGCTAGCTGCGAATAAATTGAATAAGCAGTCGCGGATAGCCGATTGGAATGGTCCTCCTGTTTGGGGGTTGGGCGTGGGTTTGATAGGCTCACACCGTGAAACGACTTTATCTAGAAACAACCAAAACTCGTCATGGATTTTTCTGGGGTAAAATGTTCCGGAGGTAAACTAGTCCCCCGTTCGAATCTCCGGGTGGGGACTACCTCGGGGAACTCATGTCGCATAAAGTCAAAAAACGGGAGAGATATCAAAGTGGGTACGTGGAACATCCGAAGTCTTTACAGATCTAGGACATTTCAATCGATGGTCGGGGAGGTCGAAAAGTACAGGGTAGAAGTCGTCGCGTTGCAAGAAACAAGATGGGCCCGGGAAGGTTCGCTTAATGCGGGTTCGTACACGCTTCACTATGGAAGGTCGGAGATCCATAGTCTTGGCATCGGTTTTATGATTAATAGGAAAATCTTATCCGCGGTAAAAGACATTAAATTTATAAACGAAAGATTAGGATTGCTCGTTGTGCAGGGCCGATGGTACAAGATCGCGATAATCAACGTACACGCGCCGACGGAAGATAAAGATGGCGAAATTAAAGACGGGTTCTACGAAGAACTCGAACACCTCGTGGATCAATTACCGAACGATTACATGAAAATAGTCGTGGGAGATTTTAACGCGAAAATCGGTAAAGAGGACATTTTTAGACCAACGATCGGGCTCGAAAGTTTGCACGAGGAAAGTAACGATAACGGAGTGAGGGTAATTAACTTTGCGACCGGCAAAAATCTTATCGTCAAAAGCACGTATTTTAAACACAAAAATATCCATAAACAAACTTGGATTTCCCCGGATGGAGGCACGCGTAACCAAATTGATCACGTTCTTGCAGATAAACGGCGTCACACGAACGTACTCGATGTCAGGTCTTATAGGGGGGCGGATTGCGACTCGGATCACCTCTTTGTAATTGCCAAAATCAGGGAACGTCTTTCGCTAAACAAAACTAACGGGCAGTTGTTTGGAACTAAACGTCTAAATGTACAAGGTTTGATCGAGGGAGAAAACGGAATAAAATACGCGGTCGAAGTAACGAATAGACTCGCGGCTTCAAAGGAAATAGATGAATCGGATGATAACACGGTTGATAAACACTGGGAAAACGTACGAGACGCGATAGTAAAATCGGCGGAGGCCACGGTTGGTTTTTGTAAAAGGAACAAAAACAAGCCGTGGTTTGACGAAGAATGCGTAAAAATTGTTAAAGTACGAAACGAAGCGCGCATCACGTGGTTGGCTCAAAATACGAAGGAAACTCGGGATCAGTTTCTTAAGATTAGGCAAGAGGCTCATAATATGTTTAAAATTAAGAAGCGTCAATACTTAAAACGTAAAATTGAAGAAATAGATGAAAATTGTAAAAGCAGTAACGTACGAGGCACGTACATGGGGATAAATAATTTTAGAAAGGGATTCCAAGCTAGGACGGAAATGGTGAAAGATGAGAACGATAATTTAGTTACGGATACAACGGCAGTTTTAAACACATGGAAAAATTATTTTGATCGGTTATTGAATGTCGAATCTGAAAACGACCGGGAAATAGAGAATTTTGAGTATCACACGGCTGAACCTAGGATTAACGAACCGACAATTTCAGAAGTAGAAAGCGCGATTAAAAAATTAAAAAATCACAAAGCACCGGGTAATGACTTGATTCCGGCGGAACTGATTAAATAGGGGGGGAAGTAGATTGATAGAGAAGAAATTCAGAAATTAATTATCTTAATATGGAATAAAGAAGCATTGCCGGAACAATGGAAAGATTCAATTATAATCCCGATTTTCAAAAAGGGGGACAAAATGAGTTGTAATAATTACCGGGGTATCTCACTTTTACCTACATGCTATAAAATTCTGTCGAATATTTTATTAATGAGGCTTGTACCATATGCAGATGAGATAATTGGAGATCATCAATGCGGCTTTAGGAGAAATAGATCGACTGCGGACCAAATCTTTACTATTCGGCAAATCTTGGAGAAAAAATGGGAATTCGACCAACCGGTACATCAACTTTACATTGATTTCAAAAAAGCGTATGATTCGATAAAACGGGAGAGAATGTAACTCGGAAATTTTAACTCGGTGGGGGATACCCAAAAAATTGGCTAACTTAGTCCAAGTTTGTTTAAAAGATACCAGAGGTAGAGTAAGAATAGGTAATCAAATGTCGAAAACTTTTAATATTCATAGCGGATTAAAGCAGGGGGATGCATTGTCACCTCTTCTGTTTAATCTAGTATTGGAATATGCTATTAAAGAAATGCAGAAGAGTAATGATGGTTTGCAGTTAAACGGTACAACACAAATATTAACATATGCGGACGATATTGCTTTGTTGGGGGATAATAAAGAAACACTAATAAATAACACTAAAATTCTATTAGATAAAACGAAAGAACTGGGGCTGCAAATAAACGTTGAAAAAACTAAATATATGGTCACTGATAGAATCCAGAATATTCATAATAACGGAAACCTGGTCGTCTGTGATAAAATTTTTGAACGGGTTAGCAATTTTAAGTATTTAGGATCGATTTTAAACCAAACTAATGAAATAAGAGAAGAGCTCAAGAGAAGAATTAATTTGGGGAATGCGTGCTTCTATTCGGTTAAGAAACTACTCGGTTCGCGGATATTGTCTAGGCGCTTAAAAATTAGAATTTACAGAACGATTATTTTACCGGTAGTCCTTTATGGCAGCGAAGCGTGGTCACTTACATTACAAGACGAGAAAAGATTTAGGGCTTTCGAAAATAAAGTACTTCGAAAAATCATCGGGGCAAAACGCGATGAGGAAACGGGCGAATGGAGAAAATTACACAACGCAGAATTACATCAATTATATAATAGTCCGGATATTATTAATGTCATAAAATCGCGTCAATTAAGATGGGCAGGTCACGCGGCGCGTATGGATGAGAATCGAATTGCATATAAAATACTAATTGGTAAACCGGATGGGAAAAGACCATTGGGTAGACCAAGACGTAGATGGGAAGATAATATTAGAATGGACCTTAACGAAATAGGGTACGAGGGTCACAAATGGAGGGATCTTGCTCAGGGACGGGAACAGTGGCGGGATTTGGTATTTGCGGCAATGAGCTTTCGAGTTCCTAACGCCTAATAATAATAATAATAATAATCTTACACAGTCAATAATAACTAATCAATAATATTAAATCCGTAATACTGACATGTATCAATATTTTTGGTATTTTTACAACCTTACACAATCAATATTATTGACAATATATTTCATAGTTTTACTTATATTATCTATTGTATTATGATATAGATCCTAATAAAGCGATACGGATACTTGAGAATCAAAATCCAGATCATCATCAGTATTCTACATTAACCCATCAAAATTAACCACACACGATCAGTAATATTATCAGTATTTGTTAATACTGACATATCGTTAACGGTATAGGGTTATCTTAAGTGTAAGTGATAAGTAAGTACAAAAATTATGTTTTATCTTTTTTTGCGATTTTTTTCAAAACAAAGCAAAAAACGAGCATATATAAGTCATACTACAAGTCTATAAAGGACTTTTTTTCTTATTGTTAGTTTATCAATCCCCTACATCAACATATTCCCGAAGTTTGACCACTTAAATTCAGGACAACCTGTATAGCTGATAATGTTACAATAACTAATAATTAAATAATTACTCACGGGTGTACAATATCCTAAGACATCTCCCTTAAATCTTCTGTGCTTAGTATTTTGAAAATATCGACCAGATTCTTGAAGAATATCCTGTTGTTTAGGATTTTCCACTACCAAGTTTCTTTGGAAAACATTTTGGTCCACCGGACCTTTATACGACTTATAAAATTTATAAAATAAGAAACTGTTTATGTACGTATATGCATACGTATTAATCATGTATCAGAATTGGAAATTTCATAAAAGTAACCGGTTACCGTTACTCGTTACTGATTTGAATAAGTAACTCGTTACTGAAAAATTAACAAATTATTACTATTTTCGTTACTTTTTTTCTAGACACTAATAGAATTAAATGTGCAAATTTTGCGGTAAATATAAATAAAGATGTTAGTATTCTATTTTCTAACAGAGAAATAAAGCTCAAAAACTAATAATATATACAGGGTAGTCCCAAACGTTCTAGCCAGACTTTGAGATTTTATCGGAAATTTAAAAACAAACAGTTGAACAAACTGTTTCCTAAAATATAATCGAAAAAATTTAAAACTTCCTTAAAACACCAACGAGATACTATTAAAGACAGTCGGATCTTATGGAGTTTGCACATCTGTTAAAAGAATGCTAGAATTATCAACGAGCGTTATTTCGTATTTCTCAAATAATATCATATTTTCCTTACATAAAATAAAAAATTCTTCTCCAGAATAAAACAAAAAATGAAAATACCTTCGGAAAAGTCTAAACCGGTATGAAAATCGACAAAAAAATTATAAATTACAGTTTTCTATAATCATGTAGATTCTTTCTTCACATATAATTGAACGCAAGCATATATCCAAACAAAAAGTACTTTTCTGTATTTGAATAATTTATAAGAGTATCATGAGACCTTCAAATTATGATTCTGAAGCTCACAAGAGAAATGGTTTAAGAAGTACGATTTAAGTATACATAACCTCACATTCAAATGATATATAGAATATAGCAAAGCAAGTAATGTACACAACATTTTACTTAATAATTTTGCTTAATGTACGTAATGTTTTAATTAATATATTTATGTAACGTTTTTTTCATGTAATATTTTATTTGGAATTAAAAATCTGTTTTATCGACATTGATCAAATTCGGCTGTCGCTCCAGCATCCCCTTAAAATTTACGTAATTATCCAGCTAACGCTAAATATTCACAGAAAATTTGATTCATATTATCAATGACCGATTTCGGAATAGTTAAAGAATCATCACAGAATATGACATATGAAATGTTCAGAATAATGTGTAAATATTTCTTGTATATTTCACAAAAATTGCAAATGAGCGAGCAGTACACACAGAGGACCGTGGCGAAGAGCATTTATTTGTAAACAAGAATCACCTGGGAGAGAATATAAGGAGTGCAACACTTCGTCTGTGAAGTGAGCCTCCAAAATTGGGCTCCAAGGTAAAAACACATTAAATGTATTTTTCGAAGCAAAATTTTGTTTAAAAACTGATTTACAGACCTGGAATTTCAGGAAAAATTAATATTTTGTATACAATACACATATATGGAACTTTCTCGGAATATGTAACGACATGCAAGTGAAATTTTTAATCAATATTTGAATGTTTCTTTTACATATACCGTAATATTTGGAATATTTTTGAGTATTGGAATGTTTTTTGGGGATTTTTTAGGAACATTTTATGAATATTTCAAAAATATTTAGCGTTTGCTGGGTAAGAGTAACAAACTGATAAACGGTACTAATTTCATGATTTATTGGTTTCGTAGACACGTACAACCGGTCACAGTAAGGTTGCAACACTTTTGCTTCGATGGATTTCGTAATGCAACTTGCTCACCGAGCGATTGGTTCTTATTTATAGATCAATGAGTAAGAACTAATCACTCGGAGAGCAAGCTGCGTTCTGAAACTTTAAAAAAAAACTATTGAAGAAACAGTGTTGCAACCTTTTTGTGACTAGCTGTATATATGTTTAAAACTTAATATTTGATTTTTATTAAAAACTGTGATTTTAAATGTTATCATCCGAGTTTGATTATCAACAGAGATGATAACAGCAGAAAAAAAATTGTAATTTTTTAGTAATATATAAAATATTATAACATTAAAAGTATGCGCACTTATTTATACAGCATTTATATAATAAAAAAATCATGAATTTAATAACGTATTATCAAATTATCTATGTTAATAATCGCAAATTTTTATTATATAATTGTCAATAAAGTCATCATTCTTCAATTATCCCGGGGCCCCATTGATAGTCGAAAATTTATGTAGGAGTGACCGTCTTTAAGAGGACCCTAAAGCCGTCTGTATTACCGATTAAATCGTAATTTTTGTATAACAATTATTGTAACTTTTTTTATGCGTATACTTTAATCCTGAATTTTCGAATCTGTAAAAGAGGAAAAAGTAACTGTTATACAAAAATAATGATTTAGTGCAAACTTGGTACAACTTACTCTTCATCTTTTTCTAAAGAAGAGTAATTCTTGGAAAAAGAAGAGTAATTTAAATTGAGATCAAAGTTAATCTACATTGGTGAAAACGGACATATTTTTTACAGTTTATATGTCACTAATATATGTATAATTTAATAATAGTATTGCTTGTCCATTTTAGGTTGATGTTAATACTACATTAAATATAGAGTTGTTAGTTAATTTAGAACAGGATATAGAAGAAATAACATCAACAAGTAGTAATATTACGGAATTAACAACGAACAATCTAAATGAAGAACAAGAAATTGCAAATCCAATAATGTCTACATCCAATGCTAAGGAAACTATACCTGTGTCATTAAATAGTGAACATGAAGAAAATGTTGAAAGAGGCAGAAAAAAGAACTCTATTAGAAGCTAGAGAAACAAAATCAAAAGAAAGATACACAAAATTGAAGGCGAGCAAGATAATTGCAAAATTAGATAAGTCAAACAGAATGTTGAAACGTCTGCGTAGAAAAATAAAATCAAGAGGACAAATGGATCTTCTCAACAGCATTAAAAAAATACTAAATGACGATCAAATCGAAATTCTGTGTTGGCCATCTGAACGATGTGACAGTTGGCCATCTAAACGATGTAACAAATGTAGTGATACTTTAAAAAAAGCTGTTAGATTGAAATTATCTTGCGGCAGTAGCGGTTACAAAGAAATATTACGACAGGGATTTCCTTTACCTTCTGAACGTACACTTAGAAGAAGACTAAAAGTAATGGACTTTCAACCTGGCATTTCTGAACAAATGTTCGACTTATTAAATGAAGAAGTATCACTCTTTATTAATGATCGAGAAAAAGACTGCTAACTCTTGATGAAATGAATATTATCGAAGAAAAACAAGTCGATCAAAGTACAATGTCACAAATTGGTCTCTCGACTTTCCCCGATAAATGTGGTAATTTGAAATCATCAAACCGTATATACAAGTATTCCTCTACTTACAATGGAGATCCAAGACTTCGATCATAAATCGAAAGTTGAATAGCATTTATATTTCATGTCAATGAAACTTTATTAATGTAAAATAATTATTTTATTATTAAAAACGATTATAGAGTACATTTAGCTTAACCATAGATTAAATTTTTCATCAAATGGTTAAAAAAACAATATTTTTTCTTCTACAAATATAATTCTTATTATAATATTTAGTATTCTAAAATTATTTAATTTGGATCATTGGTTAACAAATATTTAATTACCTTTGTTATAATTTGTTAATTAATTTTGATTCACTAACATGCAGTTATATGTCTAAAAATTCTCGAATCGAAGTAGTTGTAAATATAGCGCGATACCCGTATTAACTTATATATTAATTTAAAAAAAATGTACAATATCTTACTCAACCTTGTTATACATGCAGGATCGTATTCAAAAGCGCATTTCTAAAGATATTAGTGTATATTTTTGTCATTCTATCTATTGTTTATTAGATGTAAATCAAGAAAATGATCAAAGAATAAACTAAAAGCACACTGACATATTTTTTAAATGCACATTCTGAATATAGGTGATATACAGTATAGTAGATGATGTATATATTATTTTCGCTTCTGCAAAAGATAAATGACATTAAGTGACAGTATTTGACACAGTATTTACATTTAATTTCAATACATTATTTTCTGATATTAATATAGGTGAGATAAAGGATGCTTCTCATGCGTTAGTATTCATGTTTGGAGATATTTTTACATGATGGAAACTACCCGTTACCTATCATTTTATTCCTAGTAGTGTAGATGGAGCTATACTGAAACCTATCGTAGAAATCATTATTAAAAAAACAGAAGCTGTTGGTCTATATATATAACTTGTGATATGAGTCCATTGAATTTAAGAATGTGGAAAGTATTTTGTGGTATCGTATATAACAGATCCCAAATTCATAATTCTGTAGTTCATCCTGTAGATAATACGCGAAGTTTGTTTTTTATTACAGATACACCGCATTTGCTGAAAAATTTAAAATCTTTTTATTAAATAATAAGATCATACAGTTACCTATACGGAATTCGTACAGACATATAATTTATCGCCTGTCGTTGAATTTCAACATTTGCAAAAAATAGTAGAAATTCAAGAAAATCTGCAATTTAAATTAATACCGAAAATTTAAAAAAGTGACATAGTGTGTAGTACATTCAACAAAATGAAAGTGAACAAAGCAAAAAATTTGTAGAGTTGAGATGTCAGTAGCGCAATGTTTTTTTATGCTACAGAAAATAGAAAAACAGAATTTAACACGACAGTGACGTTTATAGAAATAGTTTATCAAATGGTTTACTTTAATAACATCACGAAAACATTCAGTTGCCTTAGGAAAGACAGCGAATGATAATAAAAAAATGTAACGATAATATTGCTTTCCTTAACTGCATTGATCTCTTCCGAAATATTAAAATTGGTAAAGTCTCAAAGTTTAAACCTGTTCAGTGTGGCATTATGATTACCACAACGTCAATAATTGAATTGATACAATACCTCATTAATAACCGTAAATATCGATCCGTATTGACTGCACGTTTCACGCAAGATTGCATTGAAAATTTATTTTCTTGTATAAGAGTAAAGCATCCGATTTCTATCGCCTTGCAATTTAAACAAAATCTGAAGCTTATCGTAATATCGCAA